GTTTAAAATTTTTTCAAATCGACTAGTTGGAAAGTTGGCAACTAGTTGATTTTTCAACTAACGATTTGGAACACTACACACAGACTTTTCAATAAAAAAAATAGTATATATTTTTTTTTAACCAATTAAAAGTTTTTATATAAAATTAGCCAATCAAAATTGATTAAATAATTGTAAATTTGGCGCTTTGTATAAAAAAATCGACTTAGTCATGATTTTACAATAAGAAATGTCAAGTATATAGTAAGTGACGCATTTCATAATTTAGTCAAATACTCAATACACTTTATATATTATACAACTATGCTACTTTCATACTCATTAAAATACCGAATCTATTCGGATCTTTCTTGCGAAACACTAGCAGAAGGCACTTTATAGGCTATAGCGATAGGTTATTGTACATGATCTTAAATCTGATTGGCCATATAATTTTTTTTAAAAAATTTTAACGTATTATTATATGTAACATAGTGCTGTAATACATGATCGTCTTGTGACGGCCGATTTTTATGGCACCACTAAGTTACTATACCAATATCACGTACGTACGACGAAGATAAATGGATGTCTAATAATAGATGTTTGTCTAATGCTAAATATAAAAGTTTACCTTTTTCTTGAATTAAAAACGTTTTAGTAGTCGGAGTTTATAAATTTCTTTATTCAACATGCAAAATGATGACCAGAACAAATATGAACTGGTTAAGAAAGAACCTAAAGGTGTAGTTGAACTTAAAAACTTAGTAACTAATGAAGTGACACATAAAAAGTTTAGACAGAAAGTAAGCTCATTGAAGATTTGCTTATTCATTATCTTGGTCTATACGTGTAATTTTTATTACATTTTGTTTTTGACATGAAGGCTTTCTAATGCAAATAATAGGTTCCAGGTGGTTATTGTTCAAAATTAATCGATCCAATAACCGAGGTGCTTCTAGCAGAAATACAGGGGAATAGTTCAAAAGCGAAATTAAAAAAAATTTCATTATATCAGGTTCATTTAGTTGAAATATTATTTATTTGATTGCATTTTTTTTTTCAATATTAATATTGTGCTATCATTCAATTAATAACAGCCTGACGATAGTGTCGAATTAAAAGATTCAGGAAGATTTAGTTTTGAACATAAATTTCGATGGGAAAATGAAAAATTCGTCTGGAAAAAACGAGCATTCTCCAAGGAGTTAGAATGTAAAATGGTGCAGCCTGGCGATGAACCAAACATGTGCATCGCACTATATCAACCGAAAAACAAAAACGTTGGAACAGTGAATATTATGAGCGATAACATGAGTCGTCTTAAGATTCAAGATCGACGTGGACTTGAATACGTTTTATTAATGTCTATATTGTCATTTTTGGATAAATCGGATGATGATGGTATTTCTAAGGATAAAAATGAATTTATTTTGGGAGAAGAATCGAAAGGGGAATTGAAAGAACAAAAAAAGGTAGAAGATCAAGAAAGAAAGAAAAAAGAGAAAGAGAAGAAGAAACATAAAAAACAAAATGAAAAAATTGTAAAAGAATTGGTTGAAGAAGACAGATCTCAAAAAGTGAAACAAGAAAAGAAGGATGAAGAATTAGAAAAGGAAATAGCGGAAGAACCAAAAAGTTCAATAGGCACAACAGGCCACCATACTAGAAATACACCAAATTCATTCTCATCATCTTCACCCAGTTCATACCCACCTCCGTCATCAGATTCGAACCGTAAGCAAAAGCTGGCAAAGCACAAACCTAAAGAATATACAAATGAATATGGATGGTAAAAATTTAAGAATCATTTGAATCATTGGATCAATTCTTGTGAAATTTATATTCATATTATTTAATTTGTTCATGTGCATGCATGTCATATTTTTTTTTTATTGTATCTCATAGAAGTTGTTTATATTATTTGTACGAATAACATTTGACACATATGAATGTATATATACATTTAAAACATTAAACATTTTTGATATATTGGTAAATAAATTAGATCATATTAGTAATAACATATTCATATTAAAGCTTACCACCCTATAACCAAACCTACCCATATCTAACTCACTGTTTCTTTACCTTTACCTAGTTGTGCATACATTTTTTCTACCCTATCATGAACAGTCTTTAAAGTTACATTTGTTGTTGCTAGTTTCTTTGTAGCAGAAATTAATTTTTGAATAGAAGGTTGAATTGAAGGTTGTTCGGTTGCATCAACGAATAATTGAAGCTCTATCATTAGAACATTTAATTATAATATTTAACCATTATTGAATAAAGAACGTGTTTGGGAATAAGATCTAACTAATATACCAGCTAATAGTCTTTCGATTTCTTTATTTAGTTCTAACTGACTTGATTTAACCGCAACAATCCTAGAATCCATTTCTTCAATAACGGGAGTCAAAAGAGCCATTAGCCCTTTAGAAAATTTATCCTTATCTGTTAAAGACATATCATCAAGTTTTTCGCTAGGCTCCATTCTCGAATGAGAATTTTATTTTATCGTTACAAGCGGCACATAAACTATGGAAAAAAATGTGTTAATGTCATTGGGCAAAGGTCCGTGTTACTTGGATCGATCCACGGTCTGCGGCCCGATCTAAGATATATTAGCGTTAGTGTATACAATTATCTGTTATATTACGTGTAAGAATTGGCGCAGTAAATGACCGGCAAAGTTTTCAACCCTGGTCAGTATTTGGCATTTTAGAGAGATATACCTGGAGCAAAAGACGTCTGCAATTTAGAGATCATATCATTTATTAGTAGTTAAGCCCTACATTCAGAGAGCATAAAGGTGCTTGGAGAAAGCCGACTGTATATATCGATATATGTATACTACTACGAATAACGACAGCTTTTGTTACTATAGTATTATTATGAACTATATGAACTAATGAATTGACTAAGTTGATAATAAACGTAAAGGCTGATGCTAAAACGAATCAGATTGGTCTTAAACTTCACAAAATACAATATCACTATAAAAATGATTTCGTGTTGTACGAATCTGAATTTCCCCTATATTTGTTTTTAGTCATGGATTTATACACGACCTGCATTTAAAGTTTTTTCGAGTAATGAATACTAATTCTAACCAGAAGACTTAAATGCATGAATAAACTGGTGCATTCACGCATATTGCGCTCATGCAAATACACGAAAAGTTCCGAATATACATGAATACGTATTAAGATGTAAATCTCAAGTTTATATATTAATTTCCATTCTTGGATATGTCTATGCATGACACTTTTTTTCACTTTCACACAATTCGTAAGAATTTTAAATATTATAAATAAAAACAGACAAGATTATTAGATTGGTACTAACTTATCTTGAAAAGCTCGTGCGAAATCTTACAATCTTTTCAAAAGCAGATACTTGGGTTATATGGATCCCTCTCCAATGTGGAATGTTCCCTTCTTCACTATTTCTCGTTGTTTTCTTAACCATTTGCGATAATCTGCAACTGATTTAATTTTTTCACCATAATAATCGGGTGCTGGATTACGAAGCGTGTGTAATGATGGATCTGCTCTATGCTTTTTTATATGCTCATAAAATTCACGATCTCGCTAAACAATATTCAACCGATTATAAGATAAATACATAATTTTCAAATTATATCGAATATTACTAATCACATGTTCTATTTTACCTGCTCCATTAATTTTACTTCTTCTCGATGAAATAACTTCCAAAGAGAACTTCCAAGGATTGGTCCGATTAATAAGCCTGACAGGCCACATACTAAAGTGCCAATACCATATATCATAAATGGCTCTTGTCCAAATATTGGTGTCGGATCGAATTCTCTAGTAGCAACATATGCAAAGCTCAAACCAAAGCCCCCGAGTGTGGTTGGGATTGTGATAACGCGTTCTGCGATTCTCCGTCGCCGTCTTAACATAAAGTAGTCATTCCAAGATAAAGATTGTCCCGGAAGTACTTTGGTGCTACGAGTGCGAAATATTTTCGATATATTCATGCCGAAAGTGAAGTTCGAAAGTTAGAATCCTAGTGTTACCAATCTAAAAACTTCCGCTAAAAAAGTTCGCTGTGAGACTAAAGTTAGGTTTTATTTATCAGATTAGGTTAGAAAGAATTACTAACTATAACAAAATATTCACGAGAAAAACTTTTTGTTAGTGCGCAGAAGATGGTTTAATAGGTGAACTTTTTGAGATACGAACGATTTTGGGATTGTCTTTATCGTTATTTTTGCGTTACACCTGATCTTAAATTTTAATTGGACAGTCACTTCAATAGCCCACTGAAAGCATTTTGCGTTTCCCGAAATCTCTAATTAATCTGTGTATATAAAGAACATTTATCAATCACCATCCTAAGATTAATATTTACCATTACATAATGCTCTTATTTCACTAATTTACAAGTATAGAGAACATTCATTATTCATTAATTAATGGTTTAACAATAAACATTCCACACAGTTTCGGTTGCATTCTTATAGATGTTTTTCATAAATTTTGGGAGACCGAAAAATCTAATATTCCCGAGAATTCTTCGGTCTCGCCTTAAGAATCGTAAAATAATCGTTATCTTTAGAACTTTTAGTCAGAAGATAACAACATAAGTGAGCGATTAAGACCGAAGAGATTGTTCCGAGAACGGACAAGTTTTTATTTTATCCCAGAAGTTGAAAATAGCTATAGCATTAATAGCAATTTTTACATTTGGGAATTTCGATAAATTCTTTCGAAAATATTTTTCTGTTCGATAAATCTAGAAGTATTCTAGGAAAACTGAGACACGAACTCAATTGAAGTTTATTCTTGATGTGATATGGCTAGTGAATTTTATGATTTGATGAACCAATTGAATCTGTCCGATCTGGTGTAACTTAATTTTTTTTTATTTTATATATAAATCTTTTTTTTTTCTTGTTACCTTTTTAAACGTTAAAACCATGGCTTTATATAATTTTAAACGGATCCAGCCGATTCCTACGGCAAATGATTTTTTGGATATCGTGCTCTCAAAGACACAGAGAAAGACACCGACTGTAATTCACAAGAATTATAAAATTGGTCGAATAAGGCAATTTTATATGCGCAAAGTCAAATTTACTCAAGACAGTTTCGATGAAAGATTGAATGCCATTCTTGAGGAATTCCCGAAACTTGACGTAGGATTTTAACATAAACGATAAATCTTTACATCAATGTTTAGGAAACTTGTCTTTGATTGATTATAATTTTTATAATAGGACATTCATCCATTCTATTCAGATTTAATGAATGTATTGTATGATAAAGATCATTACAAATTAGCCTTAGGTCAAATTAATATTGCGCGTCATCTTATTGATCAAGTTGCCAAAGAATATGTCCGTCTATTAAAATTTGGTGATTCATTGTATCGCTGCAAGCAATTGAAAAAAGCAGCACTTGGAAGGTATGTACATTAAACGTGACGGCTTATGCTGAAATAAACTGGTACTGAAGTTTGGGTTCTTATTTATATATATAAAACCCACTTGTACTTTTAACTAACCATTCTAATCCTAGATTCTAAATCATAAAAAAAAAAAAAAAAAAAGAAATTTTAGCATCAGCAATCACATTAAGTTTTTAAAGTTCCCTTGTAAAAATGCCCAATTAATCCCATTTTACGTGTATATATATATATATATATAAAATAGAATGGCCACCATTATGAAACGCCAAAAAGATAGCCTATCATATCTGGAACAAGTTCGACAACACTTGGCTCGTTTACCTTCAATAGATCCAAATACTCGTACATTATTAATTTGTGGATATCCAAATGTTGGTAAATCTAGTTTCATGAATAAGGTTACTAGAGCAGATGTTGATGTGCAACCTTATGCTTTCACTACAAAATCGTTGTTTGTTGGGCATATGGATTACAAATATCTTAGATGGCAGGTGAACAAATAGATCTATTATTAATTTAAAGAAGTTTGTTATTTGATATTCAGAATAACATGTTTTGATTTAGGTAATCGATACTCCCGGTATATTAGATCGTTCGCTTGAACAGATGAACACCATTGAAATGCAATCTGTCACAGCCTTGGCGCATCTTCGCGCATGTATCATGTTTTTTATGGACCTCTCAGAACAATGCGGATATAGTGTTGCAGAACAGGTACTACTTATTTATTTATTTTATTTATTTTATTTATTTATTATTATTTTAGCAGACTCATTCTTATTTATGTACATATTATTTTTTAAAAAGATAACACTATACCAAAATGTCAAACCACTTTTTGTCAATAAACCAACATTTATTGTCATAAATAAAATTGATGTCACGAGACCAGAAGATATACCTGCTGAAGAACAAGCAATGCTAAAAGAAATTTGCGAAAAGGATGATGTTCAGATAGTTCAACTGAGTTGTCATACTGACGAAGGCGTGATGGAGGCGAGAAATTTGGTATGTCAGTGGATTAAATTTTTATCAATTTTATTTATCTAAATGGATTGTGTATACATGTATTGAAATTATAGGCATGCGACAAATTATTAGCGGCTCGTGTTGATTTCAAATTGAGAGGTTCAAAGATCAATGATGTTATTAACAAAATTCATCTCGCTGAACCGGCCGCGCGTGACGATATACCACGTCCACCTCATATCCCCGAAGGAGTGAAAAGTCGACCTAAGTTTGATATCAATGATCCTAAAAGACCCAAATTGGAAAGGGATTTGGAAGCAGAAGGTGGCGGTCCTGGTGTATATAGTGTTGATCTTAAGAGTAAGTTAATAAAATAGTTATTGTCCATTATCGATTACCTTACTTATTAGTTCGCTATTTTTATATTACCTTAAACAGAAAAATATGAATTTAAAAGTGCCGAATGGAGATATGACGTAATTCCAGAAGTTATGAATGGCAAAAACGTTGCCGATTTTATTGACCCAGATATTGAAGAAAAATTAGATGCTTTAGAGCGTGAGGAAGAACGTTTGGAGGCTGATGGACATTACGATTCAGAGGAAAACATGGTAGAGTAATCTTTTTCCTTTAAAGGTCATTGATTATTTGAAAATTATTCATATGAACTTGTGATCATTAATGATTAACAGATAGATTCTGAAGAAGAAGAAATGAATAAAGTCGCCGAAGCAATTCGTGAAAAAAAGAAATTAATCATACAGGCTCATAGAGCAAACAAAATGATGAAAAATCGACCAATTATGCCGAGAACGGCTACTAAAAGGGTAAACAGAATTATGGTCTAATGATAATATATACATTTATTATATATATCAAAGAAAAACTATTCATTATGATTTTTAATAGTCCATTGATGAAATGGAAGAGAAATTAGGTAAACTAGGTCTTGATACAAGTGTAATTCGTTCACGTAGCCGAACAAGAAAACGCAAACGATCCGAATCTGTTGGCGACGAAATCGTTCGAGACTCTTTGAGCGTTACAAGAGACGCATCTACGTCTCGTGATCGTAGTAGTTCTAGAATGAACATTAAGGTAATGATTGTCCTGCTTGAAAGAAACTATGAAATATTTAATTTATATTGAAATTTTGATCTTATCTAGCAAAAGAATGAAAGTGAAAAACAAAAGAAACTTGCACAACGGAAGCCTAATTTACATGCCAGAATTAGTGAATCTGACAGAAGCATTAAATCTAAGAAACCTAAGCATTTATACAGTTCCAAGAGTAGTATTGGAAAAAGAGATTGGCGTTAATTATAATTAATCTTTTTGCGATAAAAAATTTTAAATTATTGTTTACTTGCCTAATCATAAATTATGGTTATTGATTGATCAATTGCTGATTACAAATTTTATCTCAGCAATACAATTTTTGTTTAGAATGTTTTAATCAAGTTCTGAACAATTGAAAAACTTATCACTAAATTAAAACTTTTAATCTATATAGCTACTACAATAGAGTATTTTGTGTATAATTATAGCTATTATATATTTCATTGGGATGTTTTACTAAACGATAATATCATTGTTGCAAATTATTCAATCAAAGGGTGATTATAGAATAAAAGGCTGATTTTATATATTAAAACATTACTATATATAGCCAAATTTTTGTTTTTTAAAATTCTTGAATTGTATCAAATTTTTTTAAAAATTTGGTTTTTAAGGATAGGGTTATTTGTTATATGATTTTTTACATACTAAAAATTTTTTATGCAAAAATTGAACATATGCTACGTAAACGTTTTTAAGGCTGCAACTAAACTTTACCAAAACTTTATAATATATATTGTTAAAATCTTTTTTTTAGGAAATTGATATTTTCACACCTTTTTTTGATATTGCCACACTCCTGTTAATAAAAATCAATATAAATTATTAGGGTTTTGGATAGGGTTTAGAGTTAGCAGGGGTGTGGCAATATCAAAAAAGGGTGTGGAAATATCAATTCTCTTTATATTATAATAAAATTTTTGGCATTAAAAAATTCTGTGCTAGGTTGTTGTGCAGACAAAATTTTTTAAAGTTTATTGCTATTGTTAGGGTTAGCATTTAGAATAGGGTTGAAATCATTTAAGAAAAACTTCTTGTTAAAGCATTAAAGGTGGTTTATGATGCAAATTTTGAAATAAAAAGTATTTTTTTAACAAATAAATATTTGTTTTGAAGGGTGTGATAACTTAGAGTAGTAGTTAAGTTGTTATTTCCAAGCAGCAGGTCTAGAGTTCAAATCTTACCAGAGGCATTTTTAAAAAAATAGGCCTGTATACTAGTAATATTTATTTGACAATCGGTTAGATATATTATCTGTAATCTTGGTATTACTATCTCGAAATAAAAGCACTTGGGCAATCTAAATTCAAGAAACCGGAATAATTGAAATCCGTTTAGCAAGACCTGAGCAAGGAGTAGTGAATATTTTTGATGATATTGCAAAAAGTTAGAACTAGAGACCGAAGAACTGAAGCAAGAAGGATTTACAAATCTGACCACTAGAGTTGCATCAGAGGAAAAGGTTCTATATTATAGAATTAGAAACCAAGAAAAGTAAAATCAGAAGATACCTAAAGCTGAGGTATAACAACCCATCCGGACTAACTGGTTTGGTAGTTTGAAAAGGATCGGTTAAAGAACTGGTTAATGTCAGTGTTGGCCTATGACCTATTATGATCTATTGACTAATTATAGGTTATGACCTTATGACCTGTTATGACTTATAAAATTACTAATATGTTATGACCACCTTGGTCATATAAAGTTGAATATGATCTAAAATAGCCAACACTGGTTAATGTAGGTATCAGTATTAGAATGAACTTTGTAAAAGCACTGAATACTGAAATTGTGCAGTTTAATTGTTTGCTTTGACTGCTAGTAGTGGTTTTGGCTGCTGCAAAAGGTATTCATAGCCTAATCTGAAAATGTGTAGTATATAAAAAGATTAGAAGGTATATACTACATCCTTCCTAAGGCAATCTAGTAGTATAAAAACCTTACTAGGTTATCTATAGAATTAGGGACAAGTAGTATAGCAAATGTCGATCTGGGTAGTCTTCAATAAAAAGCAGCACAAGGTTATATACTAGTGTGATTGTGGTGGGTGGTACAGGACAGGGGACATCAGAGAGTTTAATTAGATAACTCGAATAATAGTGGGTTATAGATACAGTATCTAGTATAGAATCTAATAATAGGCAGCTACTTAATTAGATGCTCAAAAAGTGCAGGTATAGTTAGAATATACTCTTGTTAATCAAGAATATACTATCTAAAATACCTAATAAAAATCTGCCTTTATACAACATTGTAAAGGTTATATAATAAAAAATAAAAAATAAAATTTTGTTTTGAAGTTTTTAATTATACTATATTATATTTGACCTTGTAATTTGATTTGTATATCATATCATTAACTCAGTAACAGAATTTTTAATATAAAATTTTTGGACTTTATATATATTATTTAAAAAAATTTACTTTATACAATATTTTATTAAATATTTTTTAGATTAATTAAAATTTATATAAATAATACAACAATTACTAATTCTTATTGATTAGATTTTTAATATTTATAATTTTAATTGTTTAATCATTATAAATTATATAAAATATAATTTATTTTTATTTTATTTTTTTTTTTTTTATAAGGTGCTCTTCAGAATTGAGCTTTATTAATATTTGTTATTAATAATATGTTTTATTTTTTGGTAACAGATGCTTTGATCTAGAGTAGAGTTGAGAACATGGAGTTAAGAAGCATGCTTCATGAAACATGCCTCTGAGGTATACCTAGAGCATACCCTTTGACCAAAAGGCATATTCAAATTATGTGATATAAGGCTATTATATAATTGGTCAATTATAAATTGGCCAATTAAAATTAAAGCCTACTATTGCTAATTACGATAATATATAATATATATATCTATAGAGGGTATGTTCTGGGTATAGAAGAGTATGCTCTTTGCAAAGGCATGCCTCTAGAGGCATGTCCTAAAAATTTGCCATGCCCCAACCGAAATCTAAAGTAGCTGTAAATATTAAAAAATCATTATTTTCTACTTAGATATTATTCATATAGAGTTTATTGTTCTTATATTCTTTTACTGCTATAAAATTATACAGTATCTCTTAGGATGTTATTAATTAGAGCTTTTTTATCTTTTTTAATTTTCTTTTTTTCTGCTATTGTATTTTCTCTATTACTTTCTCTTTCTGAATCCTTTGTAGACTTACTATTCTGGATGCTTATTTAAAATTATAATAAGACTTCTTATATTGCAGCTTGCAATTCTTTCTCTATATAGCTACTTCACAATCATTATTACTTTGATTCGATACTTAAATCTTGTATTTGTTAACAACCTAGTTTATATCTTTATCTGTTTTTGTTTCTTTCTCAAGAGATCTTCTTTTTTCAGTCTTAATACTTGCAGTTTTTTTATTAAGCCTTCTTTTTTATTTCTTCTATTTTGTTTTCTTCCTTTTTAATCTTTTTTTATTTAAATTTGTGATATATTTTATTAATAACAAGTTGGTTCTTGCTATTTTAATTTTTATTGACTATTTTTTTAATTATATCTTCTTGTAAATAATTTTTTACTTTTTTAAATGCATCTCAAATTTGATCATATAAAATTATTTCATATGCTGTAATTTTGTTTGGATTTTGTATTATAAGATTTTTAAAAAGTTTGTCTATTTCATCTAATACAAATGTGTAGATATATAAAAAATTTTTACTAATTCACTACTATTTAAGTATTTAAGTATCTTTTTAGATACTTTATATACAAGTTCAAGAAGACTATCTACTTCTAATAATTTGTTGCTAGATTTTATCATTTCTAGAATCTTTTATATATTTGTATATTTTTATTTATTTTATATTTATGAAGTTTGTTTATTTGTTTTTAATTAGTTTGTCATATTGTTACATATTTTAAAATAGTATATATTTGTTTTTTTGTTGTGTTGTATTATTAATTCTCTAGTCATGTGTTCATATTAAATTTTATTATTTTGCACATAGGTAGTTTTAGGCAGTGATGTACGTTTTGACTGTCCAAAGGCTTTTTTGGCACTGTTCAACGTCCAAGTGTTCAAGTGTCCACAAGTGTCCAGAGCATATCTAAGCTTTAATAATTAATAAATTTGTTTAACAAATATATAATTATATATTTTTTTAGGTGCTGAACATATTTTATTTAGAAAATAATATAGGTTATCTTAATAAAATTTTGAGTAATTTTAATTTATTTAATTGTCCAAAATTGTCCAAAATGTCTAAACTTACTGTCCACAACTGTCCCATGACAACACTGGTTTTAAGCATCTCTCAGGAGATGCGTATATCTTACAAATTACCCAATGATAAGTTAAAATTTAGTCAGAATTTAGTGTAATATAGCACAATCACAAAGATCAAAACAAACTTTTGTTTTTTCAAAAATCGTTTATTTTTCGAACATTTGCATAAAAAACTACCTTTCATGCTCTAACAAAAAATTTTTCTTGAACAATTTTACTATACCTATCACTAACTCTAATCTTAACATAAACTCTAATTCTACCTTAAACAAATTTGGTTGTGGAAGATATATAACTTATATATATCCTGCGAGAGATGTCTATAATTTCTCTTTACGCATATATATTATAACGCACCCTATAAGATTAGGTGTAAACATGAAAGAATTTTTCTGATCATAAAATTACACCTGATCTTACATTTTAATTGGTTAATCAGAGGGTGTGTTACAATATATATGTGTTAAATTATATAACATATTCTTATTATTAGAATTTTTAGAATTACAGACAATTATCTATTTTTTTAAAAAAACTTTTGATAAAATTTTTATATAAGTTTTTATTTTGATGTTAATTTGTTTCTTTACTAGTCATTGTTCTAAGTAAACTATAGCCTCTTTGTTTGCAAAATTTATATTTTTGTTTTATCGATTTTGGAGTTGTGAATCAACAGAGAGAGTTGATTATTAAATATCATTGCTAATTAAATATGATCAAATATCTATCACATATTAGAATATTACATTCAACTACTCACACACTAGCCTTTAACCTACAACAATTTACATCTTAATTAATTAGTTGATAATTAATTATATAAAAAAAATTTTATCAATTTGTAATACTACTCACAAGTGGCAAGCAAGAGTTCAAATTTTATTAGCAATGAAATTTAAATTTACAAAATGTATTATCCTTTAAACTGTAAATTTTAGTGC